AAGGAGAGCAAATGTCGTAGAGGCTCATCTGTTTCTGTCTCTCTGTAAGACACAACAGCATGATGATAGAGACCAACTTGTTTTTATGTGCTTACCTCAAACTTTCTCTCAATGCCAAAGCTCATTAGCTACTAATCCATCAACTACTGAGCTGACCTTATGAAGAGTAAGTGCCAAATCCCACTTATTCCCCAAGTTCTCTAGCATCTGGAGACAAAAGAAGATGGCCAGGGGATCTGTTCTCTGTTGTACACTGAAAACACTCTTTACAGTCATTTTTTTTTCTTTTACCAAGTTATCAAAAGCAAGGATTCTTCCCCACATAGCTTTCCAAGCGAAGATGCTACATAAGGAACTTTTTCTTTTTTCCAAATTTTCTTCCACAGGAATCCACCTGATTCTGTGCCAAAGTATTGAGATAGGAGTACTCGACAGAGATGGCCCCATCCTTGTTAAGCCTCCATACGGATTTATCAAAATCATCAGGGTAAATCTTATTGGCTGCCTGCAATTGTAACAGGGACCGCTAGCTCTTCAATCTTCAATCATTTGGATTGATCCCACAGACAAGTCCGTCTACCTGGGAACTGAGCATGTAGAGGCTATCTTCACACCAAATGTTCTCACAAGATCTGACATCTTGCCATTTCTGACTCTGAATCAAAGCAGTTTTGTAGCTTCATCATCTTACTGTGTTCTCCCGAAAAGAAGGCTGAGATTGCACAGTTAATCCACCTCCAATTGATAAATTCCTAAAACTGTATTAGAGTGATTTTCGGGAGTTTCTTTCCTAGTAGGCCTTTGGAATTTCAATTTGGCCATTACATTATAACAGGTTCATATGTTTTCAATTAGTGAATTGTTAATAATATTGTGTATAAGAAGTTTGAACTGTTTTTTAGGTTTTTAGAAGACTTATGAGTTTGGCTTTTGATTGCCATGTTTGTACAGCTGCTCCTTACAACAGCTGTGCATCTGCTTCGTGCAGTTAATAATTTTTGGGAGCCCCATATCATTTGGAGGAAGAGTTTATCATTTTAATAATAAATTTTCAAAATTTAAGATTTGAAATATTT